GTCCTGATAATGTGGCACAGAATGTAAACTCATCTGTATAAATGACCATTTCATTTGCACTGATGACAAAGTGTACCCTCCCTAATAAAGGTGGATCAACTGAGATCCTAATGTGACACTAACTCGAGTCATGTCTGTTTTTCTACACACTAGTAAATAATGTTGGGGCTGAAAAAACAAAGAAAAAAGGAGCCCCATGAACCACCAGTTTGCATCAATTTAGAAAACTTCTGATGATATTATGTTAAATCACTAAACAACACAGAGTTAGGGGGAACCAGCTATTAATCCACAATTGAGTTTTTTTTTTTTTTTTCCCCACCACTAGTCTAACTGTCTGACATTGTCCAGACATCTTAAGATGACATTCAAGGTGATGAAACACTAAGTTATTAACCCAATGTCATTAACATGAGTTTAGAAAATAGAAATATGAGTTTAAATTACACACAATATTAAGGTGGCGCAGATTTCAACATCATTACATCAACCCAACCCATCAATATGTTTGTTTCCAACTTAAATAATGTCTTCAAATCAGTACATCAGATTCTTTTAGCTTGTAACTATGCATTTATTGAAGTAGAACAGGTTCCTTGAATTACTTTTTAAAGTCATTTATCATGAACATTTATGGCACCGTTACAAAAACACAAACACTCCTGTTGATCCTGTGTTTTGGTTTTCTTTAAGAAATCGATTCACTTAGGGAGAGAGCTTAAAAAATTATTGGCAAAGTGTGACCACTTTTAAGAAATGAATTCCCATAGGACAGCTGGTTTAACTCTTTTCTTTGGTTAATGCAGACAAAAGCATAACTGAGGCATGTCCTGCTTTTGCATGCAGTGTTGATATTTGTGCACCAGCTCTATAGTTAATACTTCATGTAATCATTTCAAAGTTTGGTAATTAAATGGCTGATGTATAAATAAAATGAGCTGCTGTGCCAAATATCTCAATAATTTTAGTTGAAATTTCCAATGAAGGAAGTGATGGGAGCCACAGAGAGCAGTCTTTAGTCAGAGTTGTTGCATACAGCTGAAACAGACTCACATTACACCAACTTTACATTTAGAAGATAAAATAGAATTTCATTTTCATCACAAGATGTGTGGAAATCAGAAAAATAAAATAAAAAAAACAGGACTTCCAAACAAGTAAAGTGTAATTTCAAGGAGCTTCTGTGGCAAACTTCATCCTTCTAACATTGCTTCATGTTCCAATTCACTCCATGCTTTGCTGAAAGTCCGCTGAACACCAGAGTGCCACACATGTTCAGCTGAGAGGACGTCCTTTTCACACATCGACTTGTTTTTGTCCAGTATAGAGCAGGGCTGCAGGTTCATGGTCAAAGTGATTATCACATTTATTTTGATAAAAATGTAAGTCATTCTTATTTATTACAATTATTAATGGATTTTAGAAGCAACATATTTTCATTGCACTTTTACATGTCCATGTGCTGGATTGCTGCTAATGTAATGGTGTTTTGTAGGCGAGTATCTGCAAAGCACATCAAAAATGGTCGAACAAATTAGAATTCAGCGCATCTCCTGGAGGCAAAATAGAAAAAAAAACTGTACTGAAAACTCCTCACTCATCGGTGAAGTCAAAATTCTGATCAAGATAAATATTCACCAAATAGTGCAGCCTTACGACTTTTTCTTTTACAAAAAAAATTCTCCTTTTCCGTGTTCGTCTCCTGCTCCTTGCCCCCTTCACTATGCCTATGTGCAGCCCGATGCATTAAAAAAGAAGAAGAAGAAGAAAAAAACCTAAACAAAAACTCAGTTTATCCAAGAACCCTTAAATACAAGTAAACCATGTTCCAGCAGACAGACTTCTCTTGTAGCTATGGAGTAGGAGAAACATTTTGTTTTGTATTAAGCAGCAAAAAGAACTAACTATACTGCATGCAGAAACAATACAGTGCTTCCATTTTGGCTTGTGCAATACAGTAACACAACATAAGGCACCACTGTTATGGATATCTGAGCTGGATGAGGACTCGGTGAGGTAAAGGGGCCGGGGCTCCTCCAGGCGAGCTTTCAGTGAAGTCAGGCTTTCTAAGTTAGTCGTCATTACTTGACATCATTCCTCGAAATCTGAAATACTTGCAAGCAACATATGAAGATCCATTTGGAGGATCTCTTCGTCTGTTGCTCTGCTACTCTGGACTATGGGCAAAAACTCCTGGAAATTTATGCACAGGCTGCAAAAAAGTAGAGCCAAAGCATCACAATCACTCCCTCGGAAGTGCTTCTGTTGTTGTTGATATGCAGCAGCGTTTTCCCTGAGGACAGCATGCATCATAAACGTTGACCACGATCATCAAAATGAATAGTCACGTAATTGTGCAGCCCTGCTACAAAGTGCCTCTCTGTTGCTGAGAAATGAACACTCGTCAAGGTAAGATCACGAAAAACAGTTGCAGCTTTAACTCAAAATAGAAACCTAAGGCTAACTGATCACTATATGTGTAGGGTGTAAAAAGGATCCTTGTAACGCCAACCGTGCAGCACTGAGCTTCCTCAGCTGAAGGTGATGAGGTATTCTGGGTAGGCCTGGTCATCGTGGAAGATCACGAACATGGAGGGCTGCTGCTGGTTGTCCACCAAACTGTCGAAGCAGTTGGTGGGGTCCGAGCCTCGAGGAGGGGTGGCTTTCATGGCGGAAGTACCGACTGTGTAACGGCCGGTCAGGACACGAGCCACATACAGACGCCTCAGGCCCGAGGTGTCTGCTGGAGAAAACCTACCGGCCGAATAGTTGGCTTCCACAGCGAAGTAAACTCCCTTACCGTACATGGCAGCTAGGACATAAGAAGTTCAACATTTAACTTTACTTTTTTTAGCATCATAAATCATTGGGGCTTTTAAATAAGAACATCTAACAAACGCCTTACCATGAGCTCCTGCAAAGCTCCTGTCAAATCTGTCCCTCTCAATGCAGGTGCACGACTCTGCTGACGTGCCATGGTAGAGAGACTTCTCACCGAGCTCTGCCGCACTGTTCTTGGTAAGTATACGCTGCCTACACACACTGTAGGCATGCCACAGGTAGAGGTTCTGCACACGCTCAATCTGAGTTCAGAAAACAACCAGTTATATTCTGTACGTTGGGTTTCTAGCTGGTTAAAAGTGTATCAAAACGTATGACAAGCTCACTTTGCTGATGTTGTATTTGGCCGTTCGGAAGAAACACTGGGCTACATCCTGGTATTCCGCTGAGTTAGCCTGCAGCTCGACCTTTTTAAAGACTTCTTCCTGCATAGGTTCCCAGTGTGCTGGCAGCTGCAAGGCTGAAGCAGAAGCCACAAGAAATAATATGATGATTTTGGAAACACATTCAAAAAAGAAGACAGTGAACAAAATGTGACATACCTGCATCAGACTGGCTCCTGTTCATGCTGTACGTGATACCTGTCAGACAGTCGGTGGCTTCTTTTGTCGTCAGGTTTACTTTCACCTTTATGCCGTCTGGTGTCGCAATCTCAGCAAACACTTGTTTCCCTATGCGAGCCTCCTCCAACACATAGTTCTCATGGAGGTTCAGCTCCTGCCAGTGTCCATTTCCATCCTTAATTGACCACTGGACAGTGAGAGCCAACATTGCTTCTTCTTTCTCTTGGAGGTCTTCATAAAGCACTCTTTGGATTACGCCATTTATCAGGTCAATTACACTCAAAACGTCTTCATTTAGGCCTTTCAGCACGTAGACCTCTTGTCCTGACCGACCCCCCGCTTGAGATCTGGCTGCATTTCCAGCTCTGCTGTCATTCAGCCTGGGCTCCAGGCTCATTCCTAAGACTTTGACTTTTGCCTGCACTGCGTCCAGCTCCATGGCATCAAGCCTGAACAAATGCTGCACTTGCACGTCTCTCTCTACCAGCTGCCTCTGCAGGAGCCCCTCCAAATCTCTTTTGATGGTATCGATGATGTCTGGGCCACAGCTAATTATATTTATCACAGCTGGCTGGGGCTTTGAAAAGGTGAGGGATGAACCATGCAGCGCTGCAGAGGTTGCAGAGGTTCTTGACTTCTTGTCGTGCCACTTCTTGAGCCTTCGCTTAGCTCTTTCTATAAAGTGAGAAACAGCTATTTAATGTCTAGTGCTGAAATTTTGAACATTGGTTTGTGGTTCCTCAAGGATAAAGCACAATGACGTCTCCTATTGTGGCACCGTGAGGTTGACATTTGTGGTTCAGAGTACAACAAACTCTTGGATAAACAGCCGACAGAGTTTCTATAGATATCTGAGGTTCTGTTTTGTTCAATAAATTGATTAATGACCAAATACCACAAAAAACAATGACATTTCCATCAGCCTAAACTATGTTTGGAAACCCTTTTCAGACATTGCTGGCTTCATCAGTTTGTTAAAGTGGCGCATCACTCAACACCCTTGGTCTTGTTTTAGATTACACATCAACCACACACCACAAAAACGCTCATTTCTCAGTTAACATTCAGCACTTGTGCAATTACATTATATCCTGAAATCTGAAACTACTTAGTACTTTTCATTATTAGGTCTTATTCTCTCAGTTTTTGCACAGAAAGAACTCATTAATGTTCAAGAGATCTCAATGAAAACATACCTATCAGGCTGCCACGGCCTGGGGCGTCTTGTCCAATGTGACTCTGCAGCTCTGATCTGCAAAAACATATCACAGGACATGTTGTTAAAAACAAGAAATCTGACCGGAAAAAAGAATGAACTTCAATCTAAAACTCTAACCGTCCCTTCTGTTGCTTGTTCTGGTGTGAAGAAAGACTCTAACCTGAAGGCCTGGAAGACTGGCAGCTTCAGGATGACAATGCGGATGAGTGAGAGAGACATTGGTTCCAAGTTGTGAATAGCTGAGGACATGCCGTCCAGCATGGCTTTACAGGCTTTACTAGGATCCATACCAGCCGCTCCTGATCAGATGAAAAGACAATTGTTGTGGAAACATCACCAAAGATTCCATTTACAGCAACAGATTCTGCCCATCTTCACCTTTAACTGGTTTTCATGAGTTGCTACTTTGATTGAACTTAACTAGATGAGTTTTTTTTCTACATTTATGTGATTAAAACATAAAACTAGAGAGCCCTCAGTAGATAGCTGCCCAATGTATGCATGTTGACCTGATTCTGTGCATCTACATTAGGATGAACTTGCCTTGATTTTGTCTTAAAATGATCCATAATGTAACAACAGCTTATTCTGTTATCGAACACAGATACTTTGCATGGAGGGGAAGCGTTTTGCTGTAATTTATGCCTACAACTAAGCACCTAAGATTAATGACCTTGAGTTTGACCTTTTGCCCAAGGTCAAATGTCACATCACCAATATGGGTTTCTATCTGATTGTAGTAAAAAACTATGTGTTTATCTCACATCTTTTCCAAATTATAATGGACTGAAAATGTGTGATGATTTAAGACCTTCATTATAACCTTGACCTTTGTCTCATCGGTCATATGTTACATCACCAGTGTATAGGCCTCCAATGTCTTCCTAAGTTAGTCTACTACACTTATGTCTTTTTGTGCATTTTCAGTCACACAGAGCTGTTTTTGGGAAATGGGACCTTTGACCTCTGTAGCGGTCACCAAATGCATGTATGGACCCCAAAATCTAATCAGTCCGAGAAGGGACCATACAGAGGTCATGTATGAAGTTTCAGGTTCAAACTCCTCTCCTGCAAAGTGCTGGACTGTTAACAGACAAAAAAAAACACCCAAACACACCAGCACGATGACTCTATAGTTGCCTATCAATGGGCAACCACTCATAAACACACAGATGCACATCGACAGCAGGCACACAGTACAAACCAGTATTGATGGCTGGAAAGGCCACTGACTGACAGCCTTTCTTCTCACACTGCTTCAGTATCTTTTTGCAGATCTTGCGGATCCTCTGCGGGTCGCCCTTAAAGCTAGCATGGATGATTTCCCTGCAGCCAAGCCTCCCGGGTCCTGTGGTGCACATGAAGTTTTCTGGAATGCCCTCTGACAAAATACAAAATAAAAAAGCACACAGGATTAAAACAAATCCCACCATATTGGATTTGTGCATAAGATGTTTGATGAATATGTCAACTTCAGCGTCTCAACCGCAGACTTTAATATAATAAAAACACTCCCTTCAACCTCTTTTAAGTATTATCAGTATTTTTCAGTTCACTCCTCAGGCTTACTTTGTGCTAACTCTGCTTGGACAGCGGGGCCTGCTGCATTCAGAATGGCTTCACAGACACCTGTAGAATTCATAAATAGTTAGAATCAAACCTCAGGTAATTTACTGTACAAGGAAAATAAAGACAGAACTTCTGCAGTCCTGTATGTGTATTTAAAAATCAATCAAACCATTCAGATCGTACCAGACGGTTTTTTGGAGAAGTCCAGTGTGTTGACCATGACATCAGTGCCCTCTTTTATGATGTCACCACAGATCATCTGAAGCTTGACTCCGCCCAGTGTGGCAGTGACCTCATCATTGGTTACGGAGACGTGCCTGTAGAAGGGTGCTAAAGTCATGGCAATAGAAAAGAAATTAGAAGTTAACACCTAGGTAATTTTCAAGACCAAAACAGAGTTAAAAGGACTGAAATTAAAGGACTCCAAACTAATATTGTTCTGTTAATGTGTAAGTAGCAAAAATGTGCTGACACACAGTTTTTATGAGCTTCTCTGATGTTTTTCTGCCTCCTTGTGGTCTCCGGTGGTTACTGCAGCCTTAAACGTCACATATGGTGCTTCGTATCAGCACATTAATGAAAGTCTCACATGTTCCTATAATGTGTCTGTTTTTCCAACTCAAAACTCAGCAAAAATGTCTCGTTTTAGCATGATTGTATAACCACTGGCTTCAGCCATGTTCTAAATGGGCTGTTTCAGTGTCGATCACTTTAAATGCTGCTGAGCTACGGCTGTTCTCACCGTCTTCAGGAAGAAGATTCTATCTCTGTTTGTGACTGACACTGTGGAAGAAAAGCAGCAGGTGACTCGCCAGCTTGATTCTGAGTTTTGTGGTAAATGATCATTTTCCAAGTTTTTATGACAAACATAACACAATAAAATGGACATTCACCATATGGGACCTTAAAGGATTTAGTAAAGGTTTTTTTTTTTTTTTGGAAAGAAGCAATTCATCAAAGTCTTGCTTAGTCTGAAACTGAAAAGGCAACAGTGATCCAGACTAACCTTGACTTGGGTTAGCATTATTTGTGAATCCTCTGAGATGCACAGTTTCCTGTGCAGACTCCAAGGCCTGTTCAAGGAAACGTAAATGGTTTGAGGTGTAAAACAAATAGATTACAAGGGCATGACCAACACATTTTCAGTCTAGACACATTCTACTGACATGAAGCTGTATTGGCATTTACTTTACCTTGCTAGATTCTTTGTCTGTGGGGAGAGTAACGAAACGGACCAGGAAAGGTGAGGTGTCGTCTCGGTTCTGTTCAAATACAGCAACCTCCTCCAGAAGAACCCTGGCGGCCATGTTGTGAGGAAAACCCAGGGCAACACCGGTCCCAAGCACAGGAAGAGCAACTGAACGAAAACCTCTGCTGGCACAGGAAGCTAGAATTTTTTTCATTCCCTGCCTCAGTGCCTGGAAAATTGAAAGATTGGTTGTTGGCGGTTTTAAAGAGACAGAGATAGGGCAAACATGTACCTGTGTTTTCCATGTATGCAGTACTTCACCTGGACTGCAGTTCCATGTTGGTTTTTATCCCAGTGGACTTGGTTGAGGAAGAACACTGCTTTAGATTTAAGGACAGGCAAGTTCTCCACCAGGACTGTGCCACCAGGCAGTGTTGCTCCTCCTGCTTCCTTATTAAACTCTACAGTCAGCTGAGGTCCAACCATATCGGATAAAGTGTTACCAACACGGGTAGACAGAGGATTATGGCCAACCATTGGAGACACCACGGCATCCACCTTACAAAGTACAATGTTCAAATTTATCCAATTTAGCGCTTTGAACAATCGTTTTAGTGTTGCAGCTTTAACATCTCTAAAACGTTTCTCACCTGCTGGGTCTCGATGGTTCCCTGAACGATCTCTACCTGGACGCTGCCTCCACGAGCTCTGGCTGTGGCTCCTGCTGTGGCTCCTGTTGCTGAGTCTTGGTCAGCAGCATCCCTCTGGAGCTCCACATCCGGTGCGGTGCTGCTTCTGCTACTCACCCCTTGGAGAAGCCTGTCACATGCTTCCTTCATGGCCCTCACCACCTCTCCTCTGTTATCAATCAGGATTATCTTGCTCAGACTTCGCCCTCCCTGACTACCAAACTTCCTGACAGCAGTTACGATAGCCTCAGAGCACACAGTGACAGGAACACCGAACGCACCTGAGCTGATACAAGGAATAGCTATGGACTGGAACTCCATCATTTCTGCTAAATTCAAAGCCGTCTGCACAGTTTTTTCCAGTAACTCCCTCTCTTTGCCACCTACTTTTCCACCTATAGGCCCAACGGCATGGAGGAGTTTCTTACATTTTAGGTTGCCTCCGGTGGTCACTACAACCTCCCCCGTCAAGATTTTTCCACTCTGCTTGACTATGGCTTTGCTCTCCTTCTGCACCTGAGACCCACCTGCTTTACTCAGTGCAGCAGCGATGCCTCCACGGTGGTCCAGATCCTCATTGGCAGCGTTCACCAGGGCATCGGCGTATTGTTTGGTGATGTCCCCTTCACACACCAGCACCTGGAGCCCGTCCTGAAGGCTGTATTTTGCAAATCCTAAATTCTGTCTACTAGCATGAGGCTGCCTCTCAAGCCACATGAGACACTTTTTAGACTGAGCCATACTTAAGATGCTGTCTCTTCCAGAGGGGCTTTCAAAATACCTGACTGCTGCTGGAAGATCAATGGTGACTCTGCGCTGAACAAGGGAGTCCAGAAGTGGACCCAGCCTGTTCCTGACCTCAGTCACTTTGTTTGCTGGACCTTCCAGTGCCACTATGGGCCCAGAGGAAGATGTCAAAGGATAGAGAGTAACCCCTGAATGAGCAAAGTTATGCAGCTGAAGCAATTCTGTCAAGTGCTGTACTAACTCTGGGAAAGGAAGAATGACTTTTCCTTCTATGCTTGCCTGGTCCAAAATAAACTGTGTGACAGTATCGCTCAGCTCTTCAACCTGTTTCGTGTGGCCGAGTAAGAACACCACGCTGTCTGAGCCGAACACAACCTGAGCCCTACGCTGTCCTTGGTTCATCTCATTTGTCTTGGACTTAAGCATTTCCTGAAGCTCTGGTGGCACAACAGAGTAGTTAGGAACATAAAACCTGACATCCTTGAACTCTTCTTGTAATTGTTTCTCTGCGTAATCCAGTTTAGCATCAGAGAAGGCGAAGAAATTAAGCTCTGTGTCTCGCAACTCTACTTCTACCTCGTTACCAACCCCTAAAAAGTCCCGGAGCACCCCTGGACCCCCATGAACCTTCCTCAGGAAAGCCAAAAAATGTGGGCTCTTGTCAGATACTGTTCTCTGTAACACCAAGTTCTCCTCTTCACATATCAGCTCTCCAGCCTTAACAATCTCCTGCACAGAACCTGTCAAAACCAGCTGACCTGCATCTCCCTGTGTGACCTTCACTTCTGGCAAATTTTGTCCCAAACTGCCCTGAATCTCTTTCCACAGGAGGCGGAGTTTGGCCTCACCTAGTCGACGGACGGTGGTTTGCTGCTCGCTGAAACTCGATCCTCTGTGTTTCCCTTTGGAGCCCTCTACATCTGCTAACCTGGCGTTCACCTGAGAATGTGTCCCGACAACAACAGCCATCCCGACCTCGCTGTACACTTTCACCTCATCTGTGGTCTGACCAGAGCTGCAGGACTGAAGCAAAACTTTGGCTTTGCGAGGGTCCATCTCATAATGGCACCGGTAGTCATCAAAAACTCTGTCTACCTCAGCTTTCCAGTGACTGTCTCCATGTGCAGTACCAGGCTGAGCTGACCTCCTGACTAAAACCCTGCCTTCCTCTGGGTAAAGCTGAGCAGAGCAGGCCACAGAGGCCAGCTTTTTCTCCAGTTCTTTCCCAGCCTTCGGACATTCCTTCAGGAAACGAAGGAGGTAACCATCACACTGCAGTTCATACTCTTCCCCACTTGGTGGCAGGTTTGAGGCAAGAGTGGAGTCCTGTTTCTGCTGCTGGAAAGACACAGTATTTTTAGTAAACAAAAACTATTTTAAATAATTACTCATCTTTAGTCTAAAGCAGTGTTTAAGTTGCACAAATATAAAGAAAACGACAAAAATACCGATCCATCAAGGCCCGCACATCCAGACTCACCAACACGTTCTACCCAAGTGCAATATGGGTACTGAATGCACGTTAGTCTATAGTCTGTACTATTTATCACATATATTTATTATCTATACTATACTACACTATGCTATATACACTATATTATAAATACATTTTAATTATTCTATATTAAACTATTCTATATTTTGTAGATATATATTATATCACTTATAAAAATTCTTCATTTATATTATTTATATTTCTCATATATCCACAGTGTTCCTCCGTCAGCAGTGCAATATATTTATTCTACTGTTTGGCTAACTGTACATACTTCCTACTGACTAATGTTGTAAATGTATGTATATATACTTATTTGTCTTTTTATACTTTTACCTTTATACCTTTGCACCATGGGAGTTGTCTTTTAATTTCGTTGTACTTTGTGTATGATGACAATAAAGGCATTTATTCTATTCTATTGTACTCTATTCTATTCCATTGTACTCTACTCTATTCTATAAATGAGGATTCAGTGGTTTTAGGGTTGTGGCTGCTTGGTGTATTTCTACTGTCAATAACTTTGATTCATTTTAAGACAAACAGCTGATATTCATTTTCAGTTTAAGCTTATTCTGATACCTTATTTAGCTTAATATAAACTGCACGTATCCACTGAAGCACTTTTACACACTGTTCAACAGCTCCGTTGTGTTGAAATCAAGGTCACCTGAACAGCATTAATGGAGTAAACGTACACTGCTACACTGTGAGATTACTCACCTGTGATGAAGCGGCGAGGTCGGAGGCAGCTGAGATGTGAGAGGAGCCTCGGACCCTCAGAACCAGAGGACCACCTGGAAACTCCAGCACATGCTCGCATCTTTGCAGGACTCTTTGCTGAGCTGAGACAGAGACGAGGACGTTACTTGTCAGGGTCCAGACAACTTCCTGCATCCTTTAAAGATACCGTGTCAGTGGCTTGCTAACAGACACGCCTTCATGATGGCAGTGTAAGAATGCAGTCAAGTGATGAGCTGGAATGAAAACCATCCTTGGAATCTTTTTCATTGCTTTGATCTGGAGCTCTGAGGTGCTCGTACTTCACCTGAACTTTGCTTTTCATTTCTGCTCCAGAATTTCTGTCCTTTGCTGATAGAAAACACTAATTAATAACTTGACATTATTAGTTAGTTAGTTTGAGGTTTTGACAGCAGCTTTAACAAGCAGTGTGAAGATGGACTTGTGATAAACTCATGTGAATTGGTAAAAAGAAATACTGCAGTGGAAAATAACTGTAAATATTTTTGGCTCATTTAAAAACAGTAAAAAATTGTGTAAGTTTATGAACAAATTTGTAAAAATACAAATTATTGATGTGGATATTTTATGCAGTTAAGGCTGGATGGTTTTAGGGTTTTTTGTTTTTTTTAAATTTTTATTTACCTTCATCATGATTATACAGGATCTTATCTGTAATTTAACAAAGCAGGGAATTAAAAAAAAAAAAAAAAAAGAATTGCAAATTCCTTAATGTGCTTTTTTTTTTTCTTAAATGATGGCAAATAAAAAATAAAATTAAAAATGGGGCACCAGGTACAGTTTGCTTGTGTTTTTTTCCTCTTTTTCAACCAATATGTAAATTAATAGTTTATTTTCTGTGATTTTACTTGTTAATATCTGTAATTCAACCAAACAGTTGATATCTGTAAACCAGCAGTAAGTAACATTTTGAATGAAGGATACTTTTACATTGTAATCAAGTATTTTTACTTCTACTGAAGCATCGACAGTATTTGCTCCACCCAAGAGTGTGAAAGTGAAACTAAACATTTCTAAATTTAGACACTCATCCAACAGGTTGCAAAAACTTATTTCGACCATCAGATATGTTTTGACGTGAAATTTAGTTTCTTTCATTAAAAAACTAAATCTAAACCAAATACAAACAAAATGTGATGGAAACCCAGACCTGTTGTTTTTGGCGCATACTTTCACTTTCACCGGCACAAGACATTTAACCTGCGACATAAAGAAATGAAGCAAGAACTGAGCTACACAGACACATATGCTGACTTTTCTTACCTTCTGGGTCTTTAAAAGAAACGCAGCAAACTTTATCGTCCACGTTAGTCACGGAGCCGCACTCTCCTCCGCCGGATTTGCGGCGAATCTGGAAGTAGTTTTCTATCTTCTTCCTTTGCTCTGCGCTCAGGTTGGCACATTCGAAGAAAACGGGGTACTGGTAAGGATCCTCCATCCCCACGGTGACAACTGCACTCATTTAATAAATCACATACAGAGATTTAACAGCAGAGACAACTGCTGGACGCGTCCGGTGCCAGCCGCTGCCGTGCGCCCTGTGCGCGCGCGTCACTTCCTCCTTCCTGTAGACTCAAAGCACATCTGACAGAAAGAGGCTTTTTTTTTTTTAAGAAAAAATATCACTGAAGAAAATTCTCAAACTTTGTTCTCATGCTCTAGTTTGAATTAGAGTTTGTTACTTTCTAGGTTCCTTTGGTGCCTTTACGTTAAAAATGTTGTTCAGATTGTACTTGTTCAGGGGACCCAAAACTAAGTTGTGTTGAATAGTTTAGAATTTTTTCATATGTTGTCAGACCTGGGATATGTTTTGTTTGTTGCATTTTCACCCTCAAAAAACTTTTTTTTTTATTTTTATAAATGGTAATTTCATTGTTTTATAACATTTAACTCTAAAACTACACTTTTTTTTTTTGCTGGTTTGAGATCAGCAAAAATATTGGTATTTTGCAGATATTTCCTAGTTTGTGAAGGACAAATCATTTACACCAGTGATTAAAAAAGTTAATCATTTAACTGTTATTGACCAATTTTCAGTTTCACTGAATTACAGATCATATCCAATACAAATCATGTTTAAAAAAGTATTTTACATATTGACTGTATAAACAAAGAGGCCAAACTTTTTATCACGTCCACATCAAAAATGTCTTTTTTTTATTTTATTTTTGCACAATGTGTGACTGTAAAATTACAATATTATTATTTTCCAGATATTCGCTTTCACCATTTTTGAACATTAGCAGATTTCCATTTGTTTTAATATTTAACATGATCATAGGATATTATAGAAGATGTCGTGTTTCTCTGAGCTCCCTTTGCTAAAACATGTCTGAGTGCAGGTGCAGAGTAAACAAACAAGAACCTTTAGTTAAAGCAGTCCATGCTGTGGTTTGGAAACACGAACAGTGATGCACCGGCGAACAAAGACACTCGTGTCCTCTGCTGTCTCTCTGATCACAGTTCTTACCTCCGTGTTACAGTGACGAGGAAGCGGCAGCTCTACGTGTTGGAGTACGATCTGCATCCCGGTGCACAGTTCAGTTATTGAGGCGGGCACTCGCGCAAGGTTGTGGTTTTGATTGCCAGCAAAGAGATTAGAAACAAATTAAAGTACTTTAAACACCACATCAATCCTCACAAAACATGTAGAAATCTAAAATAAGGATCCCTTTGCAGGAAGCTGCGTCACAATAGGAAGTATTTACTCTGGAAAAAGCTCACAACAACATCCTGTTGTGTATATGATCCAGATCAGACACTGAGGTTTAAGCTCTTCTTCAGGAATAACAACTCCTCTGACTTTAGAAGACTGGTCATTTAATTTAATATGATAGAAAACAAACATCACAGTTTGAGGCAACAGAACGTACATGTCCAAGTAGAGAATATGAATAAAACTTACAGGAGAAAGGGCCTAGATGTGGTATATTTACTACACAGTATTCTGTGTGCAGAACTATTCAGCCATATCCTAAGAAGTGAACCAGGATTATCATCAAATCAGCATTTTGTGTTTGGACAATAGGACCAGAAAAGCAGATATAATGATAAGTAATGTGTGGATTGCTTTTTCTGTGTTACTGTGAGATCTACAGAGCACAAAATCATTTAAATAAAACGGACATTAAGCCGCGTATACTAGCCTTAAGTGCACTTGATTGTTAAAATATGGAAACTACGGTCTCAGTGCTACCAGAGAGATGGTCAATAAACCATTTCATCAACTATACATCCAGTCTAACGAGGACTATTAATACATACACACAATATAATGTACAAAGAGTGATTCTGAACACAGTCCACATGTATGAATTTCTTTAAATAATTTGGGATTTTCACTTTCTTAGTTTTTCATTCAATAATATTCGTTTCACGTCTTTACCTGAATGGCGTAATATAAATATGTACAGTATATATACAGGGATTGGTGACAAATTAAAGGAAAACTGAAGCATAATAAAGTCAGAAGCGTCCATCAGGGTCTACTAAATGAACCAGTGCATAATAGAGCATGTTCAGGCCTGTAAAGTGGCCACATCTTAACTAGACTGAATACAAACGACAGATTCCTGCTGACTGGAGCTCTGAACATTTGTCATGTTGTAAAAAATATTCAAATATCGCTTCTGTTTATGACTTCATTAGATTGCCTGCTTTTTCCAAATTCATCCTTGGATTAATTTTAGTGTCTCAAAATCTCCGTTGCTATCAGACCCCCGTCCTCCCTCCCTGCCTGCCTTTTACTGGCAGTAGAACGTGAGGACGTTCTGCTGGTTTCCTCGGATCAGTACTGCAGGACAGTGGAGGCCACAGGTCAGAGCGTCCAGCCAGGCCATGTACAGAGCACTGGGACAATCGCTGTGTGGCACAGGGAGGCTCCTGGGAAAGAGAAAACAAAAACCCATCACATATACAAGAATAGAACTAAATAGCACAACCAGGACAAACAGTGCTTGTACACAAGTCAAATGAGAGCATGTCGTGGTTTGCAGCAACCCTGCTGCCCAACATCATGATCAGAGCTCTTGTTTGCATCAGAATTAAATCATAAGAAAAGCTTCCAGCAGAGCGAATGCTGCTGTTGTAGCAGAATAATGCTCTGTAATGTCACGGTTGTCAGATGGTTGATAGAAGCTGATGGTAGCATATAAACCAGGGGTTTCCAACCCCCAAAGTAACGGTTCCTGAGACTGGCGACCCCCACTATCCCCGGAGGTGAAACACAACAAAACGTGCACACGGATGCATGCGCTAATAGGTGTATCCAAACATGGGCAAAATGACAACAAAAAGGACCAGAACAGCCTGACAACCATGATCTGATTTTACATGTAACAGTTCACTCCAGGATGAAAGCAGAACACATCAGTCAGAATCTCCATGTAACTGATGAGTGAACACTGTTGCTGTCATGTGAAAGGACTGACTTCTACGCTGTGACTTCCATATAAGCAGAAGAATATCTCAGTCAAAGTAAAGGTGGTCCTCTCCTCCTCCTACTCCAGAAGTTGATGGTCGTTCTGACGGCGCTCCGCTCACCTCTGCTGCTTTCTCTTTTGTTGGCATCAACCAACGTTTCATTGTGAAAATATTATCCAAGCTTTAAATCCTAGTGCACTGGTTTGAGATGTTCAGAGGAAATCTAAGGTGCACGCTGACGTGTGTGATGTTTAGTGTGGCGCTGTAAAGTGTCAAGTGTCACCTCCAAATGATTCCGTCGTTAATCCGTTGTAATCACTCCGGGGTTACATCAAGAGGATTCTGAAAATCAACAGACGCCCCAGGGTGTCGCGACCCCCACTTTGGGAACCCCTGATCTAGACAACACCGACCTCCACAAGTTGTCGAGTATTAAATTAAAATGGTTTATCACTGACATTTCTGTTCACGTTTATGGACTTTTAACCCTTTTCAGGACTTCCATGTTGCCATACGTAGAAGGTCTTTTGGGGTCCCCAAGAAAGAATATGTGCAAAATATTTGTTGGTATTCATTATAGACTTTTATACTGTATTAAATAAATGCTCTGATAAGTTGATATATTTTTGGTTCCAAATACAAGACAAATGTCAAATGACAAAATATAAAACAATACCCGTCACCTAAACCACATGGCCTGGGGTCCAAAAGACCCCAAAAGTTCTGAAAAGGTTGAACAGAACTTGATAAATTATAAAGTAAATACATTTAACAGCACAACTACTCACAATTGCCTTATAGTGCAAAATAAACTATAAAAGGCAATTGTGACTTGAAGTGCTTTTAAATGTATTTCCTCCACCCGTCAGCGCTCACAAGTGGATGCAGTTAGATAGGTTTAGAAGAAATGATCACGTAGTTAAGGGCTGTAAAGTTATTCAGGTCAACAAACACTGCATTTACATGTGTTTACACTCACATCAGTGTTCTATGAATCATTTATTAAATGTTCATGTAGCACAAATATGAAATTAAAGTGTTTCCAAAATCTGAGGTGGAGGGAAAGGGCGCTAAGAGGATGCTATTTATTTATTATTAATAATAATAATAATAATAATAATAATAATAATAATAATTGTGCTCTAAAACATAGGCAGCAATTTAGAAAATAGCTTTTAAAAACAAAAAACAACTGCCATCTTTTCAATAAATGCTCAGGTTGCAGTAAATATGATAATTCTTTCATAAGCCGTCACAGTCTGATCTGAACTGATGATACTCACACGAGCACCAGAGCAGTGTGTTGTGAATTCCTCCGGATGATTTCATTCAGTCGCACTTTTCTCTCCGACTGTAAATAAAGGAAATGTAAACGTACAAGCAGCTGACAGGCTTCAGGCTCAGAAACAGCAAAAATGAAGAGCACATGTTTGGCATGAATGATGCAATAACACACACACCTTAAGTTTAAAGGCCTCGAACTCCTTGTCAGTTATTTTCCACGGTGCACTTTGCCTCAGCCCCTGAACCGAGAGGCCTTCCTGCAGTTCGTCGAGGAGCCTGAAGGGGGCGACACTGTCCACAAACCTGCTCAGGCTGCAGAGCAACAAGAACAGCAAGACACAAGTCAGTTTGATGTGAAGGGCGAAGACAATGATCTGCTGACATGTATGGAGTAGTGAGAGTGCCAAATTATGAAAATAAATCAATAAAAGAATAGTACAATAAAAGTGGAAATAAAAAGAAGAAAAGAGAAAATAAAAAATAATGTGGCAATGTAAAGCAATATTAATCAAAAATGAATCCATAAAAGGCTAAAAAATAGACTCCAACGGTCCTTTGGCGCAAATAAATAAATAAGAAAGAAAGAGAAGGAAGGAAAGAAAAAAAAAAAAAAAGAGGAATATAAAGACAAATAAATAAAATAAAATAATCTATATATTTTCTGATTTTTTTAAAATGTATTTTTTTTTCATGTTTTAATTGTTTTATTTTATTTTATTTTTTAAAATTTATTAATACATTAGTTTTAATTTTATTTATTCTTTTTATTTCCACTTTTATTTTAGAATTCTTTTATTGATTTATTTTTGTAATTTGACAGTCTACAAC